ACTTTGAGCCCTGCTTTCCCCTCCACTTGTTTTTGTTCTCTCCTCAGCTTACTTCCGTGTATAAGAGAACCCTCAATTTTTAGTCTAAAGATTTTAGACAAAAGCATAGTTTAAACGGAAAAATTCAATAATGCGCTCACTTGTCACGGACTGCTCTTCACCGTCAGCAGAACCCACATCTTCTGTCTGAAGAAGGCAAGGCGTCAACTCTTCTCCATCAACATCTGTGGGAGAGAGAAATGGGCTTTTTATATTCTCATCTCAACACCAAAACCAGCACAGATTCCTCTGACATCTGAAAGACCAACCAAGTTATGTTATCACAAACTCTCCCCGTCCACAGAAGTTCATGTTTCTACCATGATTTGTTAGCCTTTAAGGTGCCAAGGGATGTGTCAATCTAGGTTCTGTGCCAGGAAAAATACAAAGGTCTGCTTTCAAATGTTTTTTTTTAAAGAGGAAGAGTTCTGTGATGCCTGTAAGCAGGCATATTTTGTTACTTTTTTTTCTTGTCTTATGTCCATTTTTATTGGTTCTGTTCAAAAGTCTAAAGATTTTAGACAAAAGCATAGTTTAAAGGGAAAAATTCAATAATGCGCTCACTTGTCACGGACTGCTCTTCACCGTCAGCAGAACCCACATCTTCTGTCTGAAGAAGGCAAGGCGTCAACTCTTCTCCATCAACATCTGTGGGAGAGAGAAATGGGCTTTTTATATTCTCATCTCAACACCAAAACCAGCACAGATTCCTCTGACATCTGAAAGACCAACCAAGTTATGTTATCACAAACTCTCCCCGTCCACAGAAGTTCATGTTTCTACCATGATTTGTTAGCCTTTAAGGGGCCAAGGGATGTGTCAATCTAGGTTCTGTGCCAAGAAAAATGCAAAGGTCTGCTTTCAAATTTTTTTTAAAGAGGAAGAGTTCTGTGATGCCTGTAAGCAGGCATATTTTGTTACTTTTTTTTCTTGTCTTATGTCCATTTTTATTGGTTCTGTTCAAATATAACACTTATAACCATGGTTTTGAGCTTCCAAAAGGTTCAAACAGGCACTTAAGCATCCTGGCTAGCTAGCAGGTGGGAGTTCGATTCCCCCTCAAAAGGTTCAAACAGGCACTTAAGCATCCCGGCTAGATGTCTGAATGGCCGTAATGCCAGCAGGTGGGAGTTCGATTCCCCCCACTATGCCTCCAGGGAGAAGAGCCAGCCTGGGTGACCTTGGGCAAGCTGCACAGTCCCAGGGCTCCCCCTAGAGGAAGGAAAGGGTAAGGCACTTCGGAATATTCTCTACCTGGAGAGGATCGCTATAAATTGGAATCTACTTGATAGCAAGTAGGTGCAACTTTTGCTTGGTGGCTCAGGTATCTGTTCCAATTCTTGCTCCAATCGTGGTTTAAAGTATGCCAAACCCAGATACAACGCCAAGCCGCAGATTGCACTAATCCTGGCTTAATGCTTTCACTTTCTACTTGCTTGGCATTCTTGGTACAGCAAACATCAGACATTCAGGGCCACAGCATAAGCTGTGCAGAAGAGCTCACAGCTTCAATACCCCAGCCATTAAAGGATCGCTCCGGGAGAAAACCCCACTGCTAGTCTGAACCAGACTAATGTTTAAGTAGAAGAAACGCTTCTAATGCCTCTTGGCCCACGTTGAAGCTATTTCAACCTTGCATGCTGCTTTTAGAAGGTTTGGTTGGGAGGGGCCATTCTGGACTGGGAAGCTGTCAATCAACCTGGCAGTAACCAATTGTTTTTTCCCTGCTACTGATTTCAAAGACAGCTATGCCTCTCTGCTTAAGTGTCTGTTTACTTCTTTTTTTTCAATCAGTTAGTGCAGTTACGTGAATGTAGTCAGCAAGAGTCTGCTGGAAGCAGGCTTGAGTCTGTCGCAGCCTGTTGCTATAAACAGTCATTTTTGTACTGTGTGCTGTTTTTGATCTGTACAACTGTGAGTAAATAAAACCTTTTTTAAAAAAATCTTTCTCTTACCAGTGTCTCAAAGTGAGACTTTTAAGTGCCAGCTGACAGCACTTATAAGGGGCGATCTACTCTGGGGAGACTTGAAACTTCTCTGCTTTGAGTAGCAAAATTAATTGGGCTCATCGTGCTAAGCAAACACAGCCATTCAAGACATTGAGGGAGTCACACAGAATGCCTGGCTTTCCGTAGGTTTGCTGGACAGCCCATCCTACGATCCCTCAACTTTGGCTATGCTGGCCGAGGCTCATGGGAGTTGTAGTCTTTACAAGCCCTGAAGGCCAGATTGCTGAGCTGTACTGTATAGGAAACCCCACCGCCTCCCGTCAACCACAGCTCAGCGTTACCTTCTTTAGGGACCACAACCCGACGGCGCACATCTTCCGCTGCTGGTAGCGTTCCTGTTCGCTCGCGGCCCGAAATCTAAGTGGGAGGGCAGACCGAAAAGGCAGGAAACAGATCAGGGTCCCATTAAAAGCACACCCTTCCATTCTGTACATGTACACCAGTGCCTACAATTCATTCCAGATGTAACCTTAGCAGAAGCAACGATTTAGCAATTTTAGGAAATAAGGTCTATAGCACTGGAAAGGGATGGTAGCTCTCTGTTCCCTGGTTGGGGCTGATGGGAGCCGGAGTCCAAGAAGTCCACAGGCCCTGCATGGCTCAGGAGAAGATAAGGATGTGTGATTTTAAAAGTGAGAGCTCTTGATTTCGTATAGGGTGCTCCCTACTTTGCTCGGAAGAGCCCAAGAAGCTGCGCCTGGTTTTCTCCCCGCACCTGCCGTCCTCACAACAATCCTGGAAGGTAGGCTTAAGAGTGCACAACTGGCCAGAATTCTACTAGCTGCAGACTGTGGAGTAACTCCATCAGCATAAATTTCACAGGTGAACTGCGGAACATGAAGTCAGCGTAGGCATTGCCTGTCACCCACTTGCTGTATGACTTGGGAGTGTGACAATCAATGCCAACACTGACGGCTTAACTTGGGCGAACGATCAGCCAATGGATTTAAGAGTAGTGTAATTTGTCAGCCGGATTACAGCTCCTGTCTTAAGTCCTTCTCGTCAGCAAATCGACATGTCTTCTTTGCTATAAAACCATGAGCACTAGAAACTTTTCTGGTCTTTATTGCTTACAGGTAAGAGATGTGTTCTCCGTTCCTGTCTTGGTTAGGGTCAGAATTGTCGGGCGCTGTATGGCGGCAGAATGTACTGTATAGGGAACTGGAAGAAGTCCCCCCCTCCCCCAAAGTCGTCCCTCCCCACCTGCACCGAAAGGGACTCCCTGGGCCACACACTGCCCCAGATCCACTGCAGGTAGCTGAAGAGGACGATGACGCTCAAGAAGGTGAAGTTGCTGGCCACCCCCAAAATGGCTGATGTGACGGGGAAGTTGTAGAGCAGGTACCTACAGGAGAAAAATTAAAAAGGACCTTAAGGAGGCGGCCTCCCTCCCCTGCCCTGTTGCATTTTGTACCGTGAACAATTATATGGCTATCCTTCCATGTCTTGCTCCTAGCCATTTTGACTGTAAGCAGAGATGTAACATACAAGAGTGCATAGAAATCAGAGATTTTTTGGCGGGGACTACAACTCCCAGTATCCCCTTAGCAGCCATGCCGGTTGGGGAAATTCAGGGAATTCTAGTCGCCTCCAAAGTAAATTTTCCAAGCTCTGTCTCTACTTCTCCTGGTTACCTCCAGGGGATGGTTTCGGCCACAGTGAGGACTGGTGGCATGGTGAGTTCCAAGATCCTCAACGAGGCTTTTGATGCAGAGAGCTGCAGAGGAAGGAACCGCTTTTTATGTAGCATCTCTAGTGTGCCAAAGGCCTCGAGTTCAGGTTAAAAAAAAAGTCCATGTAAAAAAAGCCTCTTGGTGAACTGATGTATAAGAAACACATCTCTCTCCAGGCAAAAATCTTGCAATAGTCACCTGCTGCCTGGAGAGGACAATGCTGATTTTAATAGGAGAAACCCAGGCTTCAAGGTGATACTGGACTACAACCACCATCATCCACCCCAACTACTGGCCATCCAGGCTAGGCAGGACGAGCAATATAGTCGAAAAAAGTTTGAGATGGTCTGACTTAATGTAATTCAGCTTTACACATTCAGTCATGGTGTTTATCCTGCAAGGACAGCTTACATTCTGCACCAAGGGTGAGTTGCGATCCTACAGGAAGGTACCAAAGAGGTATAAATATAGCACTACTAGATTTGTAATGCAGCCCACTAATTCAGCCTTCTTATCTGCATCTAAGCTCCTAGTCCACATGGCCACCGATTACAGTGACAGAGAAATGTTGGCCATTTTGTAGACCAAAAACTCAAACTTTTCCTATCTCGGAGCAACGGCCAGCTCTTAATATATTGCCTCTGAAAGTTGAGATTCCATATTGCTCCCCCAACCTTTCAGGGCCAATTCAGGGCTCAAAATCGCCCCTCACCCCCAACGGCCAAACCTCCACCTCGTAACTGATGGGGGCGCCTTCAACCCTCACCGCAATCCAGTGAAATGAGCGTGAATTCGCAGCTGGGACCCATAGATCTGGATCTTGGTGGTCTGGATTTCAAGGACGGCCCCGACTGTCGGTGTGTACTACAAGGGAGGAGAGAGAGGAAGGTCAGCCTTGGACGGCAGCTGAGAACTCAAAACTCCTATCGTCTCAACCCCGAAAAGGTGGAGGATCGCAACACCGTTTCTCACCGAATCTTCCTTGTAGTCCGAGAAAAGTTCAACCTCCACCACTTGCTTCTGCTCCGTAAAACCAGCCAAGAAGAGAGTGGCAAAAGCTAGCGTGTCCAGGATTTGGAGAAGGCTCGAACGGTAGTGGAGCATCGCCTAGATGAGACAGGCACCAGGATCGCCATTAACGAAGCCGCAACCCAGTATCACCAAGGAAAGAAGGGTTGAAGGTTCCTTTAAGGCTGAATCATTGGCCCTTTTAAATTTTACCGAAGCTTCAAGAGCAATAAAATTTCACTTTGAATGAACACCGTGCGAGAGGCAGGGCGTATATACAGAGATGTTGCAATATCTTTATCTCGTATGGTACCTTTTGTTTTTTTAAGAGATGGTTCTTAAAGATCATGAGAATCCCAAAATGCCACTAGACAAATACACATACACCCAACCAAATGCTACAAATGCAAAGGAAAAGCTATTTCTAACATGCTTTCCTAAAACGAAGCTAGCTGGATAGCTCAGTGAGTTAGGTCTCAGACTGAAGAGCTAGAGGGTTGGGAGTTCGATTCCTCCACTGTGGAAGAAGAGCCAGCCTGGGTAGCCTTGGGCAAGCTGCAGAGTCCCAGGGCTCCCCCTAGAGGAAGGAAAGGGTAAAGCACTTCTGAGTCTTCTCTACCTGGAAATTCCTCAAAACGGGTCGCCCTAAGTCCGAATTGACTTGATGCTGATGGCTCGTGATGCTGAGGAGCTTTGCAATGTGTGTGCAAATTAAAGATCTGCTCCTAGTGGAGATGAAGACTGCCAGAAAGCAGTTTGCTGATATGGGCTGATACAGCAGGTTGCAATTTTGGATTCTACGTAGAGTGCTAAATTAGAGTGAGCATCTTTATTTCACAATTTAACATTACATCTCTGCTTGAGAGTGGCCCTCCCCCATGTTCTATGGCATTGCCTCTTTTCCATCCCATGCCTGATAGCAGCCATTTAACATTACATCTCTGCTTGAGAGTGGCCCTCCCCCATGTTCTATGGCATTGCCTCTTTTCCATCCCATGCCTGAAAGAATAGCAGCCATCATGCTGATCTTCTTTGAAAAGTAACTACAGGTCCCAAAATCCCCAGCCAGCATGGCCAAAGGATGGAGCTGTATCTCTCTCTCTCTCTCTCAAACACACACACACATACACACACACATCTGGCTTAAACCCTTGCTTCCCAGCTCTGCCATTATGAACCAGTATGAGGTCAGACAGCTTTCCGGCACCACCGTGCCAAACTTTTGTCTCTAAAATCTAAACAGCTTCAGAATGGCAGCCAGCTTTGCTCCATCGAACCTTGTAGTGTAACAGCCCCTTTTGGGATTACAGACCCAGAAGATTGCTAAACCTCTCGAGACATCGAGAAAATGACCAATTCAGAAGAACTGAAAAGCTTTCATTTCTTTTTGGACGACTGCATCCAAACTTTTCAATAACAATTCACTGGAATACATGATCATGATTCTCAGAGGAACAGGCCAGCTCTCTGAGTAAGGATCTTAAAACAGGTTTTTCCTGCCTGATGATCTAACCACACACAGAGTATTACAAAAGCTATATTTTAGATCATAAACTTATCCACGCTATCATATTTCCAATCACCACGTCTGGGTGTGAAAGCAGGACAGGTAAGGAAGAGATAAATCGAGAGCTACTGATGGATCTCTACATGATTTGCACTGGACCCTAGACTAAATCTCTTTGGGGGGGGGCCCATTTCGGTGTGTGGATGAACGGCGAGCAAAACAGGTTCAGAATCCAATCTAAGTAAGTTTTGATGCTGTTTGGGTTTGCAACAGGGCTTCCTTGAGTGGATCGAGGGATTAAACAAGAATCCAAAATAGATCCCGTTGATCTGAATGCAAACCATCCCCGATTTGAAGCAGACAGCCTAAGCCCCTTCCCTGTGCAAGATGAGAAGGCAGTAGGTACACTCTTTAAAAGATGCAGCCCTTTGCAACTGGGAGAAACCAGCCCATTCTTTATAAAGATGGCAATCAAACGGAAGATCATCAAGGGAGGTCTTTCTCTCCATTCTATCACACTCAGAGGAGGTGTGTATGGTAGGGACACTGAGTGGGCCTTCTCTGCAACTCCCAGACTCTGAAACTCCCTCCCATCGGAGGCCCCATCCTTGCTGTCTTTCTATATGTAGGCAAAGATCTTTCTCTTCAGTAAGGTTTTTCCTTAGTGACTGGCTGTCTGAGAGGGGTTTTAAAATGGGATGGTCTGTATTTTTGTTGTTTTTAAATCTGCTTTAGCAATGCTTTTACCAAATATTTGTAATATAATTATTTTTAAAAAAATGAAAACAGTTGTGCCTCGCTAGACAGTTACCCCACATGACAGTTTTTTTGCTAGACATTGACTTTTTGCAATCGCTATAGCGATTCGCAAAACAGTGATTCCTATGGGGGAATTACGCTGGACAATGTTTGGTCCCTGTTTCGCAAACCAATTTTCGCTAGATAACGATTTTGATAGCTCCCTCTGCACTCGCAAAACAGGCATTTTTCAGAACCTAAGCCTCGCAAGACAGTGATTTAAACAGCTGACTGGTGGTTTGCAAAGCGGCTTTCTTATGGCCGATCTTCGCTAGACAATGATGATTCTTCCCCATTGGAACACATTAAACAGGCTTCAGTGCATTCCAATGGGGAAATGCTTTTCGCTAGACAATGATTTCGCTGAACAGCGATTTCAGTGGAACGGATTATCATTGTCTGGCGAGGCACCACTGTAAAAGCCAGCCAGACTGGCTGAGGCACAGGAACCCTGAAATCGAAACCTTCTCGGAGGCCAAATGTTTCAGAGTTTGGATGCAGTTGGAGGCCCCTCTTGCTGTAAAACCCAGCCATCTCAAGTATGAGGGCAGATGTTATAATTCAATAAAACGCCCCCCCCCGGGTCAACTCGCCTTTTGATCACGGCTGTCCTTAATGAATGAAACGTTGGCAACAGGAAACGAACAGAGTTCTGGCCCAGGATGGCTGCAGTCTGTCCTGAAAAAGGCAAAGATCCCATGCATACACTGTCATGTTCAGAAAGTGGAAAAATCTCCCGAGGGATCTAGCGATCCCCAGCCAGGCCACTTGCGTCCCGCACTGGCCAGCAAAGATGGGCTGGGAAATCCAGAAGACAGACACCTGAGCAAAAGCCATCCCTTCCCATCTACCCACCAGAAGTTGGGTATTGAGGCATACTGCTCCTAACCATGGAGGATCTATTTCGTCAATATAACCAGAAAGAAAACCCTTCCCGAATCACACTGAAGGCCCAGCCCATGTTTTGCTCACCGTCTTGGTCAACCAGATGTATCAACAAAAAGCCAATGATCAGTACATTATTATGTCCGTGAGTGCCACATATCCTCCAAATTGGGTTCGCCAAATACTGGCTTTAGAGGTAGACTCTCTCTTTACAAGAAGGCTCCACTCCTATCTACTGTCTGTCTTTAGTGTGGTACTCGTTTTATCCATTTTAGTATTCACATACTTGCTGTTTTAAGCTTTAAATATTGTCTTTTAAGTAACATAAACTGCCTTGGGTCCTTTTTAAGGGGACGGGCAAGGTCCAGATATTTTAAATAACTATTTATTGCTTTCTTAATTTCATTTATATACCATGCCATTCATGCAATGCATTATTCTGGATGGTTTACAAACTAAGAAGGCAAACAAACAACAAGACTCAGAAGAACTCAAAACAATACAAAAATAAGATAAACATAAACCAGAAAGGGCAACGTTATAACACAATAAATTGTGATTATGTAGCCAGGCTGACCTGTGGGTGAAAACAAAATAAAAATAAAAAGTAGAAAAAGAGGGAAACAGGGTGGCACCTTTAAAGATTTACTTTTATAGTTTTTAATTTGTGCTTTTGTGGGCAAATGTGTCCACGAAAGCTCACACTGAAAAATATAAAAGTTAGCTTAAGGTGCCACTGCGTTTTTATCTTTTTTTTTAGAAAAAAACACTTTTTTAAAAAAATTGTTTTCACCTCTAATGCTGGCACAGACGAACACAGATACCCCTTCTACAAGTGGCCCGAATAATTGGTGTGACGTAGCTGTCACAGTCGCAAATTGCGATCACTGAGACCTACCTAGGTACCCATTCTCCACTGGCATGTGAAACTCAATGGGTGCCCTTGGGCCACTGGGTCTCCTCTAAAGTAGGGAGGAATAAGAGTCCCATACACAGTCTTAATCTCACCGGACAAAAGGAAGGAGATAAACCAAAACTAATCAAGAATAATAATCCAGCTGGGTTGAGCCCAAAATCTCCTTAGAGTCCCACTGCTCACCATAAAGACGAAGCACTAACAGTCTGAGTAAATCTCTCCTCAAGCACCAAAATTTGTCTAAATTCCTGTCAAAGCCCTCTAAGTGGGAGGCCATCCCCAGAGCCAACGGTCAGGCAAATAATCAAGCGCTGGGCGAGGCCCTGGTGCCTCGCTTAGCGATCGCTCCGTTGAGCGACGAAATCGCTTAGCAATGGACTTTTTGCCATTGCAAAAGCGATTGCTTTGCGATGGTCCCTATGGGGAAATTTCGCTTTGCGATGATCGCGGGGAAGTGATCATCGCAAAGCCCCCATTTTCGGCCAGCTGATCGGCAGTTTCAAAATGGCCGCCTGCTGTTTTTCCTCGCTTAAGAGGCAGCGAAAATGGTGGCGCTATGGAGGATTTTCGCTTTAAGGTGAGTTTTTAAGCCCATAGGAATGCATTAAAAAGCATTTCTATGGGCTTTTTATGGGTCCAGGTGATCTCACCAGAGCAAGGTAGGGGATGGTTGGAAGCAGGCAGGCACGTGTAATGGTTGCTGACTATCCAGAAGCTCAGGCAGAACGCAACACGCAACCTTTGACGGAGTCCATCAAAACCCTGGCGTCAGCTCTGTTTCTCTCTCTCTTTGTCCTCCTGCTTCATGGATTGTTTTTCTCGTTGCCTAAACAGTCAAAACAACTGGTTCAACTATTATTTAAAATGAGCTGGAGAGCGTTTGGCCCACCAGATGCTTTGGACCTCACCAACTGCGGTCTCGTTCCTTGACCCCCGTCGAAGAGAAATGATGGGGCTTCTGGATCGAGACCTCTAGGGCCTGAATTTCCCCCAAACCCAGTTTAAAACAGGATTCTGCACCAACACATCTTAACAGCCACGTCAGAGATGCAAGAAGCCAATGGCTCAACCTGGGATGCCCGACTGATTTGTCCCAAGGCAGGCCGGCGGCAAGAGTAAACGTCCGCGGATGCTGAGGCATAAATAGAACACATCGCCCCAGGTGGTTGAGTACAGAATCAGGATTGAGAGGTAAAACAAAGGTCTGGCAAACAGAGTCCGACCAGATGGTCGGGGAAAACAAGAGACATGAGATCCAAAGCCAAAGATGAAGTTGATCGAGCCAGTTCAGCAGACACAACAACAGACATGGGAAGTTCCAGAATCATAGTGAAGCCTGTCCAAACATCATAACCAGCCAGGAAATCATCAGCCTCGACACACAGCACACCAAGGCGAAGACAGAAGAGTCATTGTCTGCAACAGACTCTAAACCCCAGCCTGGACATTGTGCAGCTCAGCGGCTGGAGTCCCGCCTACAGCGCAGCTACAGGCCGGTTGGAAAAGCAACTCAGCTGCAAAGTTTGGCCTCTTTGGAAGGAAGAGTGTTCCCTCACGGAAGCCCTCTGGCCTCAAGGAGGTCTCTTCTTCTCCTTTCATGCAGCCGAGCTCTTCTTGAAGGCGGTCTTCTGGCTGGGCTTGTGCCTTTAATCTGTGATGTTCTCATGGGCTGGGAGGTGGTCCAGCCTCTTCCTCTCAGCTGGACACAGACCTTCCTTCAGCATCCTGGGCTCCTGAAGGCTGAGAGTCAAGATGGCCTTTCTCAGACGGCCTTCGTCTGATGTCCTCTGAGTCTATTGGCTGAGACCAGTCTCCAGCCTCCCTGGTCTCTAGGGGATCCAGGGCCAGGTAGATCAAGCCTTTTCTCCACCACAAAGACCAACAGGACTTTATTGTCCTTAGATTGGATCCAGTCGTCAATCCCAAAGGAGACGGCTGCCAAGAAATCAGAAGAAGACCAAGACGAGGAAGGGTAGCAATGAAGGGATTAGGGGGCGAAATAATCAAGAGTAAGGATGCATTGCTGGAGATCACGACCAATCCACGCTACGCTATCATATTTCCAATCACCACGTCTGGGTGTGAAAGCAGGACAGGTAAGGAAGAGATAAATCGAGAGCTACTGATGGATCTCTACATGATTTGCACTGGACCCTAGATCTCTTTGGATCTCTACATGATTTGCACTGGACCCTAGATTAAATCTCTTTGGGGGGGGGGTGTCCCATTTCGGTGTGTGGATGCACCGTGAACGGCATTCGGCTCCGGCGAGCAAAACAGGTTCAGAATCCTTTCTAAGTAAGTTTTGATTCTGTTTTGGTTTGCAACAGGGCTTCCTTGAGTGGATCGAGGGATTAAACAAGAATCCAAAGTAGATCCCGTTGATCTGAATGTAAACCATCCCCGATCTGAAGCATACACCCTAAGCACCTTCCCTGTGCAAGATGAGAAGGCAGTAGGTACGCTCTTTAAAAGATGCAGCCCTTTGCAACTGGGAGAAACCAGCCCGTTCTTTATAAAGATGGCAATCAAACGGACTGTTAACCCTTCTGCCTCTTTACCAGCAAACATGCCACCCCCTCAACCCTGGACATACAGCTCTGGCAGAGGAGGAGATGATGCGGCCGCCTTTCGTGTAACAGGAAATGACCACCATAAACATCCCCAGATTTTGGTTGACCGGCGACTCGGGTAGCTCCAGTTCTAGAGAAATGCGATAAGGTTGCCCGTACATGAGGACCTGGGAGCAGAGAAAAAAAGGCATTCAGCAACCTGAGAAAATGGCTATAGTACGATGGGTGTTTCAAGACAAAGAGAAGTCTGACCGACAAAATAAAATACAGTTGTGCCTCGCTAGACAGTTACCCCACATGACAGTTTTTTTGCTAGACATTGACTTTTTGCGATCGCTATAGCGATTCGCAAAACAGTGATTCCTATGGGGGAATTATGCTGGACAATGTTTGGTCCCTGCTTCGCAAACTGATTTTTGCTAGACGACTATTTTGACAGCTCCCTCTGCACTCGCAAAACAGGTGTTTTCAGGACCTAAACTTCGCAAGACAGCGATTTAAACAGCTGATCAGGGGTTCGCAAAGCTGCTTTCCTATGGCCGATCTTCGCTAGACAATAACGATTCTTCCCCATTGGAATGCATTAAACAGGTTTCAATGTATTCCAATGGGGAAATGCTTTTTGCTAGACAATGATTCCGCTAAACAGCGATTTCAGTGGAACGGATTATCATTGTCTAGCGAGGCACCACTGTAAAAGCCGGCCAGACTGGCTGAGGTACAGGAGGCCGAATGTTCCAGAGTTTGGATGCAGCCAGAGGCCCCTCTTGCTCTAAAACCCAGCCATCTCAAGTATGAGGGCAGATGTTATAATTCGATAACACACCCTCCCCGGGTCAACTCGCCTTTTGATCACGGGTGTCCTTAATGAACGAAACATTGGCAACAGGAAACGAACAGAGTTCTGGCCCAGGATGGCTGCAATCTGTCCTGAAAAAGGCAAAGATCCCATGCATACACGGTCATGTTCAGAAAGTGGAAAAATCCCCCAATGGATCTAGCACTCCCCAGCCAGGCCACTTGGCCAGCAAAGATGGGCTGGGAAATCCAGAAGACAGACACCTGAGCAAAAGCCATCCCTTCCCATCTACCCACCAGAAGTTGGGTATTGAGGCATACTGCTCCTAACCATGGAGGATCTATTTAGCCAATATAACCAGAAAGAAAATCCTTCCCGAATCACACTGAAGGCACAGCCCATGTTTTGCTCACCGTCTTAGTCAACCAGATGTAACAACGATCAGTACATTATTATGTCCGTGAGTGCCACATATCCTCCAAATTGGGTTCGCCAAATACTGGCTTTAGAGGTAGACTCTCCCTTTACAAGAAGGCTCCACTCCTTTCTACTGTCTGTCTTTTAGTGTGGTACTCGTTTTATCCATTTTAGTATTCACATACTTGCTGTTTTAAGCTTTAAATATTGTCTTTTAAGTAACATAAACTGCTTTGGGTCCTTTTTAAGGGGACGGGCAAGGTCCAGATATTTTAAATAACTATTTATTGCTTTCTTAATTTCATTTATATACCATCCCATTCGTGCAATGCATTATTCTGGATGGTTTACAAACTAAGAAGGCAAACAAACAACAAGACTCAGAAGAACTCAAAACAATACAAAAATAAGATAAACATAAAACAGAAAGGGCAACGTTATAACACAATAAATTGTGATTATGTAGCCAGGCTGACCTGTGGGTGAAAACAAAATAAAAATAAAAAGTAGAAAAAGAGGGAAACAGGGTGGCACCTTTAAAGATTAACTTTTCTAGTTTTTTAATGTGTGCTTTTGTGGACAAATATGTCCACGAAAGCTCACATTGAAAAATATAAAAGTTAGCCAGAGGTGCCATCGCGTTTTTATCTTTTTTTAAAAAAGCTTTTTTTAAAAAAAAATATTTTTTTCACCTCTAATGCTGGCACAGACAAATACAGATACCCCTTCTACAAGTGGCCCGAATAATTGGTGTGACGTAGCTGTCACAGTCGCAAATTGCGATCACTGAGACCTACCTAGGTACCCATTCTCCACTGGCATGTGAAACTCAATGGGTGCCCTTGGGCCACTGGGTCTCCTCTAAAGTAGGGAGGAATAAGAGCCACGTACACAGTCTTAATCTCGTCGGATGAAAGGAGGGCAATAAACCAAACTAATCAAAAAGGGACGTCCGGCTGGATTGAGCCCGAAATCTCCTTAGAGCCACTCTGCTCACCATAAAGACAAAGCACTAGCAGTCTGAGTAAATCTCTCCTCCAGCACCAAAATTTGTCTAAATTCCTCTCAAAGCCCTCTAAGTGGGAGGCCATCCCCAGAGCCAACCGTCAAGCAAATTCCAGAAATTAATCACACGCTGGGTGAGGCACATTTCCTTTTGTCTGCTCTTAATCTCTTGCCTGTATCCAGCTGGCTCTGCAGCTGTCTGGGTAGCTCAGTGAGTTAGTTATCTAGCTGGGGAGCCAGAGGTTGGGAGTTCGATTCCCCCCCACTGGTGCCTCCTAAGAGGAGAGCCTAGGTAGCCTCAGGCAAGCTGCGTAGTCCCAGGTCACCCTTAGAAGAAAGGGATGGAAAACCACATTTGTGTATTCCAGACCTCAAAAACCCTGAAAAGGATCGCCATAAATCAGAACTGACTTGATGGCACACAGTTATTACCCAATACACTGGTGCCTCGCTTAGCGATCGCTCCGTTGAGCGACGAAATCGCTTAGCAATGGACTTTTTGCCATCGCAAAAGCGATTGCTTTGCGATGGTCCCTATGGGGAAATTTCGCTTTGCGATGATCACGGGGAAGCGATCATCGCAAAGCCCTTATTTTCGGCCAGCTGATCAGCGGTTTCAAAATGGCCACTGGGAAAACAAAATGGCCGCCTGCTGTTTTTCCTCGCTTAAGAGGCAGCGAAAATGGTGGCGCTATGGAGGATTTTCACTTTAAGGTGAGTTTTTAAGCCCATAGGAACGCATTAATCACGTTTTAAAGTGTTTCTATGGGCTTTTTAATATCGCTTAGCGATGAAATTGCTTAGCAACGTGTTTTCCGGAACGGATTACTGTCGCTAAGCGAGGCACCACTGTATAGTATCCTAAAATGGGCGACACCAAGTTCTGATTTTAAAGAGAAGAAGAAAACCTCTCTATCCACCTCTTTTCCCTAACTGGGACCGTCGCATACTGCCCATCTGATCCACCTCACAAGGCTGTTGCAAGAACAAGTGGAACTTGAACACAGATCTCCGGACTTAATAGCCCGACGTTCTAACCACTGTACCACACTGTCTCGCTGCATGGAGAGCGGTGCCAGGCAAATTTACTGAAAGATGGCACAGCCAGAGGGGCCAACACCAAAAAGACCTTTCAGAAGCCATCTAGCCAAGCTTCTGATAGTGACAGAAACTGGGAAATTCCTCTAGTTCACTGATTTCCAGCCTTAAGTTCCTCTGATACTCCCAGAAGCCTTTTCACCACTGTCTAGGCCAGGATTTCTGGGAGTTGTAGTCCAAGAACAGCTGGGGACCCAAATCGCCTATTCTCACTACAAATGCCGCCGATGCCACTAGCCCTCTGCCACGGCTACCTACCTGAACCGGTAGTGTACGGGGCTGACGTAGCTGACCGTAGGCATATAGGAGTAGTAGAAGCTGCCGTAAAGGAAGACGGAGATCCACAGGAGCAGCAGCAGGACGCAGAGCAAAATGGCCGTCTGCAAGACTGTCCGGCGTACCCGGAGGACCAGCAGCGTGGCCACTTCCTGGGCCCACACCAGGAAGGGTGCCGTATTCCCCGACATGGCACCGGAAAGAGAAGGCAACAGAGAGGGATCCAGAGGAACTTTGGGGGTGGGGGGGGGAGAAGCACTTTTGGATCAACTGCCTGCTAATGGCACAGAGAGAAAAATCAGGAAATAAAACAGCTTGTGCAGTGCAGAGGGTTGTTCAAAAAAAGAGAACAGAACACCAAACCAGGAAGAAAGGGTTCCCTCGATCCTAGCTGGACAGGCACCAAGCGGTCTACTCAGGAAAGAGAGGCTGACTCCTGATTCGAACGCCACCCTGTCTGGGCCTCTTGGCTTTTCGGCGGCTGTCTGTATCCATGTGCTAGATGGGGCAGACTGGGCGTCAGCGAATCCAAAGCATGACGGGTGCGACGGGGCCGCATCGCCCGGCAGATTGACCGCTGGGAGCTGGGCACTCTTGCTCTTTCAGCAACACCACTGTGGACAGGAAGGGGCCTGGAGCAAAGGGAAAAGGGTGGGGGTGAAGTTAGAGGTGGATCAGAGGTCACTGCATCTTACCGACACCAAATGACAAGACTTTTTTCGAGGGACGATGCACAATTCCGGATTAGAAACGTTAAAGAAGAGCGAACACGAGAGAGTCAGCAGCAGGGAAGCTAATAGGAGGGATCCAGTGAATCCAGGAAAGATCCAGGGGAAAGTATAGATTTGAGCAAGGATTAACACATTTCTGTTTAACAGAGAAAACAGTAAGTTGGAAAAGATGGAGGAATGTTGTCTCCCTAGGGTGATTTCCCCATTTTTCCCTCTGGCCTAGTTCTTGAAGCAACTCTTGTCTAGTTTGTATGACATTAGACTGCAGATATAATGAGGTGGTTAAAAAAAAGATTTCCCTGCATACTACTACCACTTTTATTGTTACAGCATCAAGCCATATACATATATCCCTGCATACAAAAAAGTAGTGTCTCAGGGAAAATATGCTAGCTTTCTACATAAGGCAATATATTCATTTATTTGTACAGCTGCGCACTTAAATCACAAGCTGCTCCCCTTCATGTACGAAAAGACACTGGATGAAATTTCTATGACCTTTGAGGACGAATTGAATCAAAATGTTCATAACATTATTTGTATTAATTGTGGAAGAGAGGAGGAGAATAAAAGAAAGAGAACTGAATCTTTTAAAGCAAGGTGAGCAGATCAACCCCAGCCAGATGCTAGATGATGGTTAGAGGAAGACAGATGGAATATTGGCATAACATAGTCACTTGGGATATAAGAGACAGTAAGTTTCTGCACCACCATGAGCCATACACGGGGCAAACCCGTGTAATGGAAATATGCATGACATTTGGGTTATTACAGGCTTTAAATTTCAAATATGTTCAGCAGAGGTGCTCAGAAGCTTGACCAAAGACAATTAATCAGTGCTCTTTTTTTCACAAGTGATGAACACAGAAGCCTGAGAAACATACTATTCAATGGTATATAAGACAGACAAAACTGAATTTTAGAAAAAAAATAAATTTAAATTTAAAATAAAATAACAAATAAATACAAACATGTAATCATGGCTGAGCTTTGTCCCTTTGGGATTTAACAGCTGTAATTTCTCATTTCAGTGTAAATTAAGGCTAAAAAATGAACACCTTTTATTCATGGTTCAGACCAATCTGTGTGAAATAGAATCAACAGCTTTTCTGTGGTTGCAATTTATTCAACATGTATAAACAGAAACTCGTGACATCCTACTGTACTTTGCTGAGATCAACAGACAAATCTTTTCTACCTCTCTTCCCGGTATGGCTTCAAACACACAGTTCAGGGAAATAATTCTCTTGGTTCTTAGGTAAAGCGCCATTCCTCAAACGGCACTTTAAATTACATACACTGCACCACCAGGGTGGATAAAACTCAATTATTTTTTTAAAATTCAATCATTTAAAAATTCAATCATTTACATTTTAAAAAAAAATCAAAATTTAAATCATGGAGGAAAAAAAATCCAATTTTAAAAATTCAAATCGTGATTTAAATAGTTATTCATATCAAATCCTCCCTGTGTTGCACAGAACCTCAGAAGGCATCCAAGCCGTCTGTTTAAATTCTAGCTAAACTTTCTTTTTAAAGGACCCCAAACACATGGAATCAGAAAACACTAGATCTACACATCTCACTTCCTTAACAAGGGAAAGAGGAATTAATGGTGTCTGTTGGGGGACAGGAAGGGATGATTTACCTGGATATCAGCAACAAGACCGGGCAGGCGGCCGTGGCTTTCTGCACGGCTGGATGCTGCTAGCCCCAACTTGTTCGTTTGGGGCTGGCTGGGTGGGTCTGACTACCCACATCTAAATGCCACTTCTGGGTTGCGAAAGGAGCCAACCTGCAGAGAGGTGAAAAAACCCTAAACACCTGGCCGGCAGGGAGACATCCATTCACTCCGGATGCCAATACACCTGAGTGCGGGGAGGGGGGGAGGAGAGAGACAGAAGATCAGAACAACAGACACAATAGGTTAGAGTGGTCTTATAGACCAGATGGGCAGGGTACAAAATAAATAAACAAACAAACAAACACATAAACCGGATCAAAGGGAAAGAAGAGGGTCATTTAGCAAACCCAGAAGCCCAGATCTTACACCACCTGACCTCCAACCACCTCAAGGATATTTATTTATTTATTATTACATTTATAGCCCGCCCACCTAGTCCTATAGACTACTCTGGGCGGGTAGCAACACGACATATAACAATTTAAAATTTTAAAATGACAATATATTACTGAAAAAAAGGATGGGGAGGGAGATTCATTAGGATCTGAAGCAGCCAATTAGAAACCTGGTGTGACCACAATTACGGGGGGGGTGGGGGGGCAGAGAGGGGGGTGTGGGGGGGGGGGGGGGGGGGGGCACGC